TCTGCTTTTTATTTCTATCATCCCTTGTTAATATTAAATTAAATTCTGTATTAAATTTAATCAATTTTAAGTGTTTATTTTTAAAAGTTGAGCACAATGCTTGGCAAATATGACGACATTAGTGAAGTGCATCAAACTATACTTATTTAGTTTAAGAATTAAAACAAGATTCAAAAATCTGATGTGTCCAACATATGACTTTCCTGTCTAATTATTACAAGCTTTTCCTGTTCTTTTCTATAGCCTATAAATGTTTAGAACAGAAGTTCCCACTTATACTGCCAGTAGAGGCTGAAAAAAAATTAGTTCCTGCATAGGTGGTGTAAGAATTTCCTAAAGTATTGTTTCGAAATTTCGCTAAGACAAACAGAAGGCATTAACAAAGCTTGGGCAGTGTGATAACAGAAGAGAACAATCTAGTGATTGTTTTTAAAGACATCTCAAGAGTATGTATTTAATGGATATGGATTCGGATTTTCACGTTGCCTTAAACCTGCCAGCAAAAAAAACTTGCTTTTCTTGGTAGATTTTCTTTTTGTAAGATCACTTCGAGTAGTTACCAATTAAAAATGTTCCTGGTACCTGGATTTTTTTATGACAAAAGGATTAGTTCCTCTGATTCTTTATGAGCCTAACAAATGGCTACTTCTAAAAATGTGGCATAATTTCTCTCATAACTTTTTTGAAAATTGGAGTAGAATGTTAACTGTTTTTTTTATAAAAATTCGCTTGTTAACTTCACGTACCTCTCCCTAATAGTGGTTTCAAAGACATGTTAATCTTTCCAACGCGGGTAAAATGTAAAACTACCCCTTGATCTACGGAATATCTCCCCGTTCTGCAGAAATCCGGTTCTGATTCTTAAAGAGTGGGTAAAATCGCAAAGAACAAAGCGGGTTAGTTACGGTACATGGTGCATTAAATGAGTTATTTCTTGGTATGAATTTATAGCCGGCGCGGCGCGGTACACTTAAAAATCCTTATGATAGGGTCATATACAACAATTTGCTACGGACTACAACATAATTGCTACTTTGAGTTGAAAACTTTATTGCTTTTTGTTTTTGATGAAAGAGGCCACAAAAAAAGGTCTCGAGCTGATGCTAATGTATCGACGTTTTCGATTTGTGCTTGAAGGATTATTTTAAATAGCGATAATAGTTACAGGAATAAATATTCAACTTTTAATAGCAAACCGATGTCGATAGACGTTAATTTTTATATTAGAATCATTGTTTTAGTTTTTTTTATTTCCAATCTCATATGGACAAGAAATAGCAAAATTGGCAATATTATTTTGGGAACACAACCCGCCACAGAGGTCCCTGAACACTTAGGAAACTAGGTTAACTAAGTTACTATTGTATAGTCTATTTTTATGTATGAGAGAGTATTAAAATAATAAAGCGTTCGTAATTCATAGGCGTAACACTTCTTTTAGTAGACAGTTAAAATATTTTTTAAAGTTATTCCTCGAGTATACACTTATATTTTCACTTAATTAACCTGCTTATAACTTCTAAACAGTTGAAGGTAAAAAAGTGCAATTTTTTCTAAAATGTTTTATTTTTCCACAAGGTATGTTAAGAACATTGTGTCAAACGGGTTATGTAGGTATAAGGGTTTAAACTTTGACTTTTAAACAACGTTACGTTCATAAATAATAATTTTAATATAAAAACTACTTCTTACCTACAAATCCAAATCAGAATCGAAATCAAAAGATGAACTGTCGCAACCAATATTTACAATGAGTGGCTCGATCATTTCATCAGTAATATTGTCTAATTTCCACATTTTCTCTTCTTCTTTAATCGTATGATTTACTGCCTTTTCCCAGTTTTCAGGCTTCACATTATTTACAGCCTCCAAAAACAACTGTTTAACATCACTCATTTTAAAAGAATTATTTTTTCTTGAAACTTCTCCCTTTATCTGTGCCCATATCAGTTCAATCGGGTTTACTTCGCAATGATATGGTGGTGATCTAACCACCGTCATCCCACGATTTTTTGCAATTTCATCAATTTCATATTTTTTGAATTTCTCTTTATGAAGGGAACACAAATGATACACTTCTTTTCTCACAGAACCGGGATGAAACTTAATATTTTTTGAATTTAGCCAATTCTGTAAATCTTTTTTTAACCACTTGGTTGTGGGCATTTTTTCTACAAGTCTCGAGTGATAACTTGCATTATCCATTACTATTATACAGTTCTGAGGAAGAAGATCTATAATTTGTTCGAACCACTCTTTAAAGACATCAGCATTCATGTCCTCATGGTAGTCACCGGTACGAGTAGATTCAAAAGTCAATAAACCACCTTTAACAAAACATTTTGAACTACCGATGTGTACTATTATTAGTCTGAGCCCCTTTCCTGATGGTGGATTTAAACCAAATTATTTAAAAAAGCCTGTCTTCGACTTGTAACAGTTTCATCTTGCCAAAATTTATTTGGTTTATGTCCCTCGTTGATCCATGTTTCATCTAAATAAAATATATTTCTTCCTTGGTTTCTCATTTCTTTTATAGTCCTTAGGTAATTTCTTCTCCATACTACAACATCGCTTCTTTCTATTAAAATAGACTTTCTGGAATGCTTTTTCCATAGAAAACCTATTTCTTTTAAAAGTTTCCATAGTGTGCTTCGACTCATTTCAGGGTAATCCTTATCATCTCCAACCGTGGCAAGAACTTTGTCTACTGTCGGAAATTCTTTTCTAAAGAAGAACGCATGCACTTTCCTTCGAAGTCTTTCTTTCAAAAGATTTTCTAATTGAAATTTTGGTTTTCCTGGAGCTTTACGTGCTGTTTGAAACTCGCCACATTTCTCTTCTTTAACAACTCTGTAAATCCCAACACCAAGCGTACTACTAACTAATTCCACTGTGTCATCAACACTTTTACATAAATGTTTGTCTGTAAATGATTTGAAACAATTAGATATTAATGTTTTTTCATTAACTGTTAAAGGACCGATTTTTTGTCGTTTACGCGGCCCTTCCAAATTTTCCATGGTCACACTAGAATTCACACTGCACCTTGCAAGTTGCAACTAAACGACATTTAGTAAACTGTCAAGAATACACAACTTGGATCTTACTAAATGGAAAACCTATAATCGCATTTTCGGTGAAATTTGTTGGGAAGGTATTTATCTACTTATAATTCGATTACTGTAAGAAATTCTTGGAATTAAAATAAAACAAAATTGGCAAATAGGTACTTATTGAAAATAATCTTAAGATACGGCTATGTAATCTTTAATACACAGGGCTTTTGGCCTGTCCAAACCTTTTTCTATTGTTCTGTACAGCTTATGTTTATAAAGGACCAATAAAAGACCCAAAACTTGTAATAGCTCAGGTACATTTATTACAATTTTAGGAAATATTTAGATTATTCTGTAAAAATATTTAAAATGACCGTACTAAGTTTTGCATTAGAAATGCTGTTTTATTACTCTCTCATACATAAAAATAGACTATAATCAGGGCAAACCACCCTGAAAAGGAGGATAACTCCTATAGCAGGGTATTAGAAAAAATAAAAAGTCTCTGAAAATATACTAACTTATGAAAAAGACAATATTAAATAAAAAAAAAAAGCTAAAAGAACAATATTAATAATAATAATAATAATAATATTGTCCAACATTTTCCCATTTCGGTACAGGACAATATTCTTAATAATAAGTAAAAATAAAAAAGTTACAATGGAGCTGTATTTTTCTCAGTGTACATTTTTGGATGGGAATAACTTAACACTCTTTAATAGTCGGTGTAATATAATGTTTATCATCTTCCACTCGCTTATCAACAGGTGGATATTTTAAGTGAACCTCAATGATATCGCAATATCCACATATGGATATCACACTTAAAGGTAGTGGCGGCTTGTAACCAAAATATTGTTGGTTCACGATGCCAGGATATAAATCTCAATATAGCTTTAGGTAAAAAACTTTCCTAAAATACTCAAAGTACTTTGGTCACGAGCCGTCACTGCTCAGAGGCTTATGTAGAGATATAAAAAGGCGGTAAGTTATGTTACAATTATTCATTTATTATGGTATGGTGCAGAATATGCTTTTGTAGGAGCTGGTGTTTAGTTATTGGTGATAGTAAAAGATCTGAAGTTTACATTTTGTCATTTGAAATTTTTGTGTTTATGCTTCAACATCTTTTAAATTGCCTCCTTTTTGGACTCGATGTCCAGAAGCTCGGTTTATAGAGGTAGATACGTTATTTAAATTAAGAAATATCCGGCAGGATTCAACTAAACACCAGCTTCTACAATGGGGGGAGTATTGTAGAAGCTGGTGTTTAGTTATTAGTGTGTTGTTATGGTTTCGATATTATGTTCATGGAAAATAAAATTATTGTATTAGACTCCTTTTTATAATTTTCCTTCATAATTCAGAAGTACATTTATATAGTATTTTTAATGAATACATCGTAGCTAAAACGTAATATACCCTGTATATTTATGATTCACAAAGACACATCATTCGTCTTCGCCAGATGATGAAACTTAAAAAGACGTCTCTGTGGACAAGACGAAAACAATAAAAACCGGCAGTCATTTGGACTCCGAGTTTAATTGGATATAGCAAACTGTCGGCTGTTTTTAATTAATTTCTTTTTTCGTTGAAAACCAAGCCCGCACTTCGAATATAATAACTTCGGAAAGATGGCTTTTAATTATGCATAGGTGAACGCATTGCTCATCTTATAGCAATATACCGTGACTAATTCTGTTTTACTGTCGACACTTTCCAACCTTCGTCTTCGTAAAACGAGTTTTTATGGGAAAAAATAAAAATATTGTAAAAGAATGGCTTTTAAATTATATGATGATTATAATAAATAATTTCGGAGTATAGAACATTCATTTAAAATTAATTTTAAGAAATATTCTTACTGTTGCTCAGTTAAACACTGTCATACATTTGGTTAATTTGTATGTTTTAATTTTATCTTTTTGTTTTCAGTGACCAAAGTACAGAGCAAAGATGAGCCCTACTTTGTGAAAACACCTAAAGATGTTGACGTAATTCTAGGCAATCCTGTTACGCTGCCGTGCGAAGTCACACCGGACAACGGGATCAAGTATTACTGGGAATTAAACGGTATGTAATATCGATTAAACTAATTATTTGTTCGCTGTGTTGTTATTTGTAATAGCTCTCATACTTAACACCTGTCTATGTCGGCTAGACACTAATGACCATAGCATAGTCGTGATTCCATTTAATTGTTTTCTAGTTACCGATAAATACATCCAATAGTATTTTATTAGAAATAACATTTTAAAATAATTTAAATATATTTACCTCTAGAATACAAATCGTTGCACAAAATATTACTTTGCACATTAAGATCTAGAGCCCCGAAATAGGAGTTTTTATAACAACAGCTCTTATTCGAGTCTCCCACTCAAGACTAGCCTTTCTGTCAACTATCAACAGTCTATTTCAGGGACTATCATAACCTTCTCTGGAAAATTAGTCAGCCTGTTCATTGCCCTGATGTCCTTCGTGGCCTGGTACCAAGGCTAATGTCATTTTGCGTTGATTGCTTAGCTCTCTCAGGTCTTAGGCTCTTTCGCCAGCCTTAATTTGATTTCTGGTAAAAGAATTGCCTTTTAAAGCTGCTAGGCTATCAGAATAGTTGCACAAAATTTTACTTTACACGTTAAGACGAGAGTCTCGCCTTACTTTAATCTCCTACTCAAAACTAGCCTTTCTGTCAACTATCGACAGTCTATTTCAGGGACTATCATAGCCTAATATGAGCCTTCTCTGGAAGATTAGTCAGCCTGTTCATTGTCTTGATGTCCTTCGTGGCCTGGTACCAAGGCTAAGGTCGTTTTGCTTTGATTGCTTAGCCCTCTCAGGTGTTTTTGAATCTTTCGCTTGCCGAAATTTGATTTCTGGTAAGAAATTTGCCTTTTAAAACTGCTAGACTATCAGAGTTCTGCCCGATACTTGATTTATTAGTTCCCTTGCGCAGTCTTGTTCGGTCTGGAACACTTTTGAATATGTTCCTAGACTCTGTATGTAAGTTTTGATGATTTATTTTATTTTCTAGCATAATATATGCATCTAGTGCTTCCCAAATTCCTAAATTTTTCTTCCTCCCACTAGTAAGACTAATTATTCCTAATAACAATTGCTATTATGTCAATATACTTACGTCAAATCAATGTAATTTTAGCTTGTAAAAGCTAATTTGAAGTAGATAGATAGGAAAGTGATAAACGTTTCAATTTTCGATTCTTTTCTGCCTCAATAATTTTTTGTAACATTCAAGTATAAATATTTTTATAAATTGTAGCATCTTTTTTAGATTGTATTTCGAAATGTCCATCTTAAAATAATACATTTAATGTCTTGCATTCTTCCTCAGTAAATTGTAAAGTCTTGTAAACATTTAATACCGCCAATAAAAATAAATTAACTACTCTACGACTTTCATTATACCAAATCCCCTATTAATTTATTAAAAACCTCGTCGGATTCTACCAAACTTGATTATTAACATTGAAATTAAATTTTTTGTGTTCAGGTTCGAAAATAGCGAATACAACTCGCAGACACCAGCAAGGCAGTAACCTCCACATAACCCGCGTGGATCGCGATCGCGATTCCGGTCAATTCACTTGCATTGCCGTCGAGGACACTCCGACAGGACAATCCCCTGCCATCACCAGTTCGCCTGCTACCATCAATATTCAATGTGAGTACGAATGAATCTTGTTTTGTTGATGCAATTTTGCGTTTTTAAGATTTATCCAAACTGCTCAGGTGGATAGGTATTTCGCGGACGATAATTTTTGTAATTTTACTTCCAATATTTACATATACAAATTTTTGAAGTATATATACCAGTTAGTTTGGAAATGGTGATGAAATAAAGACAACAATGTCGATTTATTAAAAAAATCAAACTTCAACTTTCATACCTTGTAACTTCAAAATTTATCGAAATTTTAAAATGTGGTTTTCAAGATTATATTTCTACACTTTTTATAAATATTTTCTCAAATTTTGAATTCTATAGATCTATTAGTTTGGAAATGGTGATGAAATTACGACAACAATGTCGATTTGTTAAAAAATCCAACTTCAAATTTGATACCTTGTAACTTCAAAACTTATTGAAATTTTAAAATGTGGTTTTCAAAATTATATTTCTACACTTTTTATAAATATTTTCTCAAATTTTGAAATCTATAGATCAATTAGTTTGGAAATGGTGATGAAATTACGACAACAATGTCGATTTGTTAAAAAATCCAACTTCAAATTTGATACCTTGTAACTTCAAAACTTATTGAAATTTTAAAATGTGGTTTTCAAAATTATATTTCTACACTTTTTATAAATATTTTCTCAAATTTTGAAATCTATAGATCAATTAGTTTGGAAATGGTGATGAAATTACGACAACAATGTCGATTTGTTAAAAAATCCAACTTCAAATTTGATACCTTGTAACTTCAAAACTTATTGAAATTTTAAAATGTGGTTTTCAAAATTATATTTCTACGCTTTTTATAAATATTTTCTCAAATTTTGAAATCTATAGATCAATTAGTTTGGAAATGGTGATGAAATTACGACAACAATGTCGATTTGTTAAAAAATCCAACTTCAAATTTGATACCTTGTAACTTCAAAACTTATTGAAATTTTAAAATGTGGTTTTCAAAATTATATTTCTACACTTTTTATAAATATTTTCTCAAATTTTGATATCTATAGATCAATTAGTTTGGAAATGGTGATGAAATTACGACAACAATGTCGATTTGTTAAAAAATCCAACTTCAAATTTGATACCTTGTAACTTCAAAACTTATTGAAATTTTAAAATGTGGTTTTCAAAATTATATTTCTACACTTTTTATAAATATTTTCTCAAATTTTGAAATCTATAGATCAATTAGTTTGGAAATGGTGATGAAATTACGACAACAATGTCGATTTGTTAAAAAATCCAACTTCAAATTTGATACCTTGTAACTTCAAAACTTATTGAAATTTTAAAATGTGGTTTTCAAAATTATATTTCTACACTTTTTATAAATATTTTCTCAAATTTTGAAATCTATAGATCAATTAGTTTGGAAATGGTGATGAAATTACGACAACAATGTCGATTTGTTAAAAAATCCAACTTCAAATTTGATACCTTGTAACTTCAAAACTTATTGAAATTTTAAAATGTGGTTTTCAAAATTATATTTCTACGCTTTTTATAAATATTTTCTCAAATTTTGAAATCTATAGATCAATTAGTTTGGAAATGGTGATGAAATTACGACAACAATGTCGATTTGTTAAAAAATCCAACTTCAAATTTGATACCTTGTAACTTCAAAACTTATTGAAATTTTAAAATGTGGTTTTCAAAATTATATTTCTACACTTTTTATAAATATTTTCTCAAATTTTGATATCTATAGATCAATTAGTTTGGAAATGGTGATGAAATTACGACAACAATGTCGATTTGTTAAAAAATCCAACTTCAAATTTGATACCTTGTAACTTCAAAACTTATTGAAATTTTAAAATGTGGTTTTCAAAATTATATTTCTACACTTTTTATAAATATTTTCTCAAATTTTGAAGTCTATAGATCAATTAGTTTGGAAATGGTGATGAAATTAAGACAACAATGTCGATTTGTTAAAAAATCCAGCTTCAAATTTGATACCTTGTAACTTCAAAACTTATCAAAGTTTTAAAATGTGGTTTTCAAAATTATATTTCTACACTTTTTATAAATATTTCTTAAATTTTGAAGTCTATATCAATCAGTTTGCTGCTGGTGAATTTTACTTCCAATATCTATTGGGAAACTTCTTGTATGCTATTTTTAAATTTTTTTTAAATAATTGCTAAATTTAGTAATAATTTGTTTGTTATTCTTTTATTTTTTAGCAGTTTTGTTATTGAACCTTGAATATTTTTATCTAAATTTCAAGCATTTTAAATGCAGTAAATAGAGTGTCAATAATAGGATATTGCAGAGCTATAACGATGGTACTATGTATATCTATTATATCTTTATAATGTCATATAAATTGTAAGAGATAATAATGTTAATATTTACCAATATATATCCGACATAGATCAAAGCGGTGATATCTTATCAGAATTTATCGGAAATGTTTTAAAATAATTTTTACTCGTGTGTATACAAAGGTATTTCAAGTTTAATGGATAATTTTCTTTTTCTGGTGAAGACGCTACATTCTACATTATTTAGATACTTAAGTTTATTTCATTTAAAATTGTAAAATATAATTTACTTCCACTGTTTTCTACAATATTATATTTTAGATGTAAAACATTTTTCTCGTCTTTCCAAACATTAAATAAAACTCTGCCTCATTATCTCAGCACTTAGCAAAATGCATCATTCCTTTCCTCTTTTTGTCGCGTTCGCAGCCTCATTGGCGGGCGACGTTCAAAGAAATAGTAATTAGTTATTGTTGACTCGATAGGTAAAAATAGTTAATCGAATTGGATGATACATATAATTGGCTTCTTTAAAAAAAATAAACTCTCAAGTGAGCAGTGGCGTAGGTTTATATTTGGACTAATTAATGCATTTAGGAATTAGTATACAATAAATAAGTGTGAATGAGTATAATATCATTATTGTTTTGCAGTTTAACTTGTTTCAGATGAATATTGGAAAAAGGGAGTATATTCTTAAATGTTTGTATTTTTTCTAACACTATCTTAAATAACTATTACTTTTAAGGTAGAGTATTGGTGTTTTAAGGTATGTTATTAGTGTTTTTAGGTAGGAATTGTGGTTTTAGGGTAGAGTATTGATGTTTTAAGGTAGACTTTTGGTGTTTTAAGGTAGAGTATTGGTGTTTTAAGGTAAAGTATTGGTGTTTTAAGGTAGAGTATTGGTGTTTTAAGGTAGACTTTTGGTGTTTTTAGGTAAGGTATTGGTGTTTTGAGGTAGGGATTGGTGTTTTAAAATAGAGTATTGGTGTTTTAAGGAAGGCTTTTGGTGTTTTAAGATAGAGTATGGGTGTTTTAAGATAGGGATTGGTGTTTTAAGGTAGAGTATTGGTGTTTTAAGGTAGAGTATTGGTGTTTTAAGGTAGGCTTTTGGTGTTTTAAGGTAAGGTATTGGTGTTTTGAGGTAGGGATTGGTGTTTTAAAATAGAGTATTGGTGTTTTAAGGAAGGCTTTTGGTGTTTTAAGATAGAGTATGGGTGTTTTAAGGTAGGTTATTGGTGTTTTAAGATAGGGATTGGTGTTTTAAGGTAGAGTATTGGTGTTTTAAGGTAGAGTATTGGTGTTTTAAGATAGGTTTTTGGTGTTTTAAGGTAGGCTTTTGGTGTTTTAAGGTAGAGAATTGGTGTTTTAAGATAGAGTATTGGTGTTTTAAGGTAGGTTATTGGTGTTTTAAGATAGGGATTAGTGTTTTAAGGTAGAGTATTGGCGTTTTAAGGTAGGCTTTTGGTGTTTTAAGGTAAGGTATTGGTGTTTTGAGGTAGGGATTGGTGTTTTAAAATAGAGTATTGGTGTTTTAAGGAAGGCTTTTGGTGTTTTAAGATAGAGTATGGGTGTTTTAAGGTAGGTTATTGGTGTTTTAAGGTAGGTTATTGGTGTTTTAAGTAAGGGATTGGAGTTTTAAGGTAGATAATTGTTGTTTTAAGGTAGGGATTGGTGTTTTAAGGTAGAGTATTGGTGTTTTAAGGTAGAGTATTGGTGTTTTAAGGTAGGTTTTTGGTGTTTTAAGGTAGGCTTTTGGTGTTTTAAGGTAGAGAATTGGTGTTTTAAGATAGAGTATTGGTGTTTTAAGGTAGGTTATTGGTGTTTTAAGATAGGGATTGGTGTTTTAAGGTAGAGTATTGGCGTTTTAAGGTAGGCTTTTGGTGTTTTAAGGTAAGGTATTGGTGTTTTGAGGTAGGGATTGGTGTTTTAAAATAGAGTATTGGTGTTTTAGGGTAGAGTATTGGTGTTTTAAGGAAGGCTTTTGGTATTTTAAGATAGAGTATGGGTGTTTTAAGGTAGGTTATTGGTGTTTTAAGGTAGGTTATTGGTGTTTTAAGGTAAGGTATTGGTGTTTTAAGGAAGGCTTTTGGTGTTTTAAGATAGAGTATGGGTGTTTTAAGATAGAGTATGGGTGTTTTAAGGTAGGTTATTGGTGTTTTAAGGTAAGGTATTGGTGTTTTGAGGTAGGGATTGGTGTTTTAAAATAGAGTATTGGTGTTTTAGTGAAGGCTTTTGGTGTTTTAAGATAGAGTATGGGTGTTTTAAGGTAGGTTATTGGTGTTTTAAGGTAGGTTATTGGTGTTTTAAGATAGGGATTGGTGTTTTAAGGTAGAGAATTGGTGTTTTAGGTAGAGAATTGGTGTTTTAAGATAGAGTATTGGTGTTTTAAGGAAGGTTATTGGTGTTTTAAGACAGGGATTGGTGTTTTAAGGTAGAGAATTGGTGTTTTAAGGTAAAGTATTGGTGTTTTAAGGTAGGGTATTGGTTTTTTAAGGTAGGATATTGGTGTTTTAAGGTAGGACATTACTCCTACGTACCCTCTCTGGCTACGGCCCTGGTGTCTGCAATGTTTTTAAACATAATAAATCGTCGAATTCAATCGACATGGACGCCTTTGTCTGCTTTGACCAGTGCTTGTCGCTGGGGCGAGAAAATATTCATCCTAGTAAAGATTGATGCATCAGAATAATTGGCTTGACGAAT